TTCTCACCTATTGACCGGATTCTTTCAAATTCCAACTTCGGCAAACTTAGTTAATTTCCACACGGGACCTCCGAATTCAATTCCGTTTTCTCTCCTAAGTCATAATTCATCCCCCGGAACTAGTCGAGCGGTCGGAAATCCATTCCGAGCCCTCTAACCCGAAAGTCAACTTTGGGTCAACTCTTTCCATCTAAACCTTCCTTAAAGAGACTAAGTGTCTCATTTCTATCCAAATTTCACCCGAACCATCCCACACTCATCCGACACGGATATCAACACACGGGGAAGCATATTACGGGGTAACGGGACTGAAATGAAATAAATGACGGGTCGGGTCATTACACTTAGCTTCTTCGGTGTTGCCTTTGTATAAATCTGATAATTCATTAGGCAACTCATATGAAACTAACTTAACCGACCCGCTACCACAACAAAATCCAGGAGGTTCATACTGAAACCTTTTTGCATTGCAAAATTTACAATTTGGAACATGTTTTAATTGTGCATAATCTGCATCTTTGTCATTATTTTTCTTATGGATTATTTTGGTCAATGTATGACCTGTATGTTATAAGTATTGTTAAAAACGCATGGAAAATATTCTACTAATAAATAGTGTTACTCTAGCGTAAAAGAAATACTAACCTTTGCTTGTGGCAGTAGGTAACACATTTTGTTGTCCCTTAGATGTACACGATGTGGATCCTGGGACACACGTTGTCACAATTTAGATGTACACCTAAGTTGTGATTTAGGAACAAAGATGTTCATAGACGTTTTAGCTTTACCTCTTTCAAACACAGAAAAAGCCTGAGCAGCTTTTTTTCCTTTATCAAAAGAACTTGAGGAAGTATTAACATCATGGACGCTACCAACTGCGACAAATATGAAACACATGTTACATTTAATATATTCAAGCAAATGGTTATAAAATAATTACCTACTAAAATATCAATATTTATTTGTGTTGCTACATTAACATAACGTAAATAAAAAGTAATAATTCGGTCTAACCTTCGTTCTTAGCAGAAGAAGCTTCTCTTATGATAAGAGCAGTATGTTTTTGAATCATAGGGTAACGTTGATACATTACTCTTTCATCTGCATGAGCTACTGATTTTATGGAACTATTCCATTTTTGCCGCTCAAGTTCTTTAGTGCGGCGTTGTAGTAACATTGCCTCTTTTTTATCAGACGATATTTGCCCATAGATACCACGTCTTCTGACGTTCTTGTCAGAGTTTGTATGTTCTGCATATGGCCGTTTGTTTCTTTGGCCCGAAGACATTTTTTCACAATTTTATTACCACAAGATAACTGCATTTATACCATTCAAATCAGAGAAGAGATCAGCAGACCCTAAGTAACAAACTTTGTTGTTCATTCTAGTGGTAAATAATAGAAAGATAATAATCCATCGGGGTTCAATCTTTTAAACATTGATTCTTTTAAAGAAAGTAAATAGCAGCAAAATAAAAATAAGAAGCTGAAAAGAAGTTAGAATTCACGTAAAAAATCGAAAACAAAAAAATTAATAAAAATAAAGAACAAATCAGAACACAACCTCAGTTTGTTTTCACCTTTGTGAAACGAATCTCAAGATTAAACTGAAGAAAAGATTGCTAATTAAGCGAAAACCTCAAAGATCTTATCTTTTTGCAGAAGAAGAAAAAGTAGAATAGAAAAGCATGAAAAACTTGCTCTAAGGTTGATTGTTTCAAGATGTGATCTATTTGCAACTTCTTCTCTTATACTACTGAGGAAATAGGAAGCAAAGTAAATAAAAAGAATAGTCGGTACAATGATGGAGTGAGTTTCACCTGAAATAATGATATTGGGAAAAAACAAAGTCATCGATAGAAATCGAAAAGCAAAGGAGAACATACGGAAGTCAATAGAAGTATTAATATTAACAGAAGTATTGATATTCGCACAGCAGAATAAAAGGCAGATGAAATTTCATTGAAAGCAATAAGAAATATCTGTAGGTAGCTTGTTATACAGCTGGTCTACTCGGCAAAGTTTAGGATACTTGCATACTTGTATACTGAAAGACAAGAGGTAGCAAAATATTTTTAATTGATAAAAGGAGAGAAGCAGCATCAAATTTCCCTCTTTCTGAGTTTAAGCTCATATATCCAGTAGCACCATGAGTTACCAAAGTTGCAAATTATGAAATGATAATTATGCTTCAATAAACATTATATTAATAGGAACCACAGAAAGGCTATTTTCCTAAGAAATAACTTTCAAGATTGAAGTTAAGATGTGTTATTGTGGTCCTATGTCAGTATGCATATCAACATCAAAATTATGTACTGTCATCACCTACAAACAGTAAAATAACCAAGAGAGCTGCTACAGTTATAACAAACATATCTTAATTAAATAAACTTTTCATGACTATAAGGAGAATTGAAGAAACAAAAAACCCAATCATTACAACAACAACAACCCAGTATAATCCCATTTAGTGGGGTCTAGGGAGGGTAGTGTGTACGTAGACCTTACCCCTACCCTTGGGTAGAGAGGTGGTTTCCAAATAGACCCCCGACATCATTCCCTCCAAGAACATCCCACCTTGCTCTTGGGGAGACTCGAACTCACAACCTCTCGGTTGGAAGTGGGCATCATTTACCATCAGAGCAACCCTTCTTGTCCAATAAACCCTCTATGTTACATATAACCATCAGGATATAAAATCATAAAAACTGGATATATTTTAGAATTTTTTTTTCTTAGTGCATGATTTGATGTACCATTTGTTGTCTGTCATGTATTCTGTATATGCTTGTATAATGTAAATGATAAATAGCCAACCTGTTAGCTAATTAAAATTCTTTACTAACAATTGGTAAGTGATCTTGATGCCGTAATAGGCCTATAACTATTTTTATATTCTCATTGCATGTAATTTAAATTGAAAAACCATAAATTTAAAATATGATTTGAGATTTACAATTCAACGTGCAAGGCTCATGCATTAAAATACAAGACTGTCAATTTAGTTTTGTAGTTTATATTATATAAATTTAATGAGGACCCATGAATATCATTGTAGAAGTTGACCTTTGCTCTATATCATATAATGACTTTTAATAAGTTAGGTAAAAGTAGTTAGACAGGAGAAGGCTTTAAACTAATTTGAGAAGATCCTGTGGAATTTTATTATTATGTACTTAGATTCTACTTGTGTTCTCCATTCCTTTTGTCTCTTCATCGACAACAAGGTGGAACAACATCTCAAGAGTAATTTTCTCTAAAATGCAAATTCCTACCAGATAAAAAGTGGAAATGAAACCTCGTAGTACACAGATCAGGGAAGTAGCAAAATTTTTTTAAAAAAAACTGTAAAGAACTTAGAATTCATATAAGAAATCCGAAATAAACAAATTAAAAAAAAACAGAGAACAAATGTGAACCCTCAGTTTGTTTTCACCTTTCTGAAACAAAAACCTGCTCTTTCTGGTATGCCTGAATCGAAGAAGGTTGATTGCTCAAATTGCGTTGAATTATTAAGTAAAATCTGCTAGATTTTGGGACAATTGATGCTGCCCTCTTTGTTTTGATCGTTATTTTTATTTTGGGAGTCGATGTGTATCTTCTAAACACCACGTGTTAGCCAGCAATATAGAGTAAGGTGGAGCAGTCAACCTCAGAGATAGTAAAACTATCAAATATTACACTATAGAATGGCAATTACAATTTGGTCAGTTCAAATATAAATTAAAAGCATCTAAATCTGACTCCTTTTCACACCTACTGTTTGGTGGTATTACTAATAGTACTAATAGCGTTTGTTGCCGTAAATGGAAAAGAAAGCTACTTGCTTCTCTTGTACTACAATTTTATTATACCTTGTATTCCAATTTTTATTCTTTCGTGATACTATTTAACATGATAAAAAAAGTGCAACCTAATATCACAGTATTTCCAGAGTACTATTTCAAGTGAAATAAGAATTTTCACTTGCAAACCCTTTTGCAAGCCTAACTTCAACTTTGGAATACTTTTTCCCAACTTTAGTTTCAAATATTCTTTTACAATTTCAACAAAATATCGTCCAAATGCCCACTAAGATTACATAAAAGCCAAAGTGGTAAAAGGAATCACTAGAAAGTAAAGATTATTGATTTTCTATATAAGAAATCCAAAACAAATTAATAAAAACAAAGAACAAATCAAAAGCCAACCTCAGTTTGTTTTCAGCTTTTTGAAACGGATCTTAAGACTAAACTGAAGAAAAGATTGCTAATCAAGCCAAAACCCCAAAGATCTCATCTTTTTGCAGAAGAAGAAAAAGTCGAGAAGAAAGCATAAATAAAATGAAATACTGAAATGGTTGGAACAAACCTGCTCTTTGTGGTCGATGTGAGTCGAAAAACGGTAACTTCTCTAAATTGGTTGAATTAACAAGTGAGAGCCGGTGGATTTTGGGGCAATGGATAAGAAGTTCTGGTGTGAGTTTTGGAATTTGGGGCAATGGATATCAAGTTCTGGTGTGAGTTTTGAGCTTTGAGGAATTGGGAACCCACGTGTTAAAGAGTCAGCAATATAAAGTTGAGCTGTAAATGGATGAAAATACAAGAATACCCCAGACAAATTAAAAAATCCAAGGGAACACACATGTTGACGGAGAGGTGCCTGTGTTCCCTCTTATTAGAAGTAGGAAAGTAGGAATAGGAATGTTCACCGGCCAAGCCAACAGCAATTTGATATTTCCTACAAAACATGTACTAGCTCATTAAAATATTAACAAGAAGTGGATGCCACTATCGTCTCGTTAAAATATTAACAAGTAACAATGCTTTACCGAAGGAAGTCCATCGATCAATGATATATAAATAAAGAAATTTATATATATATATATATATATA